GTATATGTTTTTTCTTTCCTCCATTCAAGCAATCGCGCGCAGGGCAAGAAAAAAAAGTATGATGAAGAGAAAAGCATGTTTTATACTGTTAATTCAGTCGCTTCATCATCATTTTGAAACTAATTTCTCAGCACTTCCGTCTGTCTTTTTGGGATGGAATTGAAAAGAAGATTCAAGGAATGATATTTGTGGCAAATTGTCATCATATTTGCCACTCAAAAAAAGAAGACATCGTGGGATCGCGCAATAACTTCTTAAACCGCAGAAGAGCTCAGATTTCCTAAGCGCGAATGGGGAGGAAATTACACCACAAAATGGGCTCAGAAAGTGCAAAAAGTCGCGTAGAGCGGCGTAAAGACAGTTATTGGTGAATGAGGCACGTTCTTGATCGATCAATGAGTTACAGCAAAGAGCTCCAAGGAGTCACGATACATCCGACCACAAAACACCGCCGATCGTGCTGTTAATTCTTAGCCAATGTGCGAAAGAAGGTTCTCTCAAGGTGATCTTGTACTCGCACAGCGCGCTAAACCCATAAACTTGCCATACTTAAACCTCGCCCCAATAAAATCCACACAAATACATGCGAGAAACTTTTTCGCACCATCCGGAAAAACACCTCAATTTCTCTCCTCACGTAACATGATTTAGTGGACAGGTTTTTTTTTCTGTCAAGATAAACTCATCGTCGCAGTTAATTTTTGCACTCATGTGCCAACGAATATTTGCTCAACCGACATTCGTGGCTTTGTGGGTGGAAAGAGGATCAATTGGATGGAATCACTTGTGACAACATGAGAATTGAATAACAATCGCCGTGCGCGCCGAGAAAAGCACTAAATATCGTTGGCATCCAGTTGAAAGACCTCAATTTAAAGTGGGTTTCATGAATATTTGACCGCACTGACAAATACTTCTCAACCTTCTTAGCGATTCTGTGTGAATTTAATACTCAGATGATCGGACAAGTGAGGAATTTGGGTGAATAAGAAGGGAATTAAAGCGGTAAAGAGAGAGATAATGGAAAATCGTCTTATGTTGCAAAAGGCCTTAATTTCGCTAAATATTCTTAGGTGTGCAATAAATAAAAAATTGAGAAAATTCAAGACCTTCAGCATGCTTTTTAACCCACATTTTTAGGTCAATGCACGCGCAAATTTACCAAACTCGCACGCCAAATAGTTGACAGAAAATAACATGAAAAATTCGTCACAATGTTTGAGTCTCTTTAATTCACCATTGAAGAACATATTATAATAAGCAGTTGCATGTTGTTTTGCAAAATGGAAATGATGACAGTGAGTTTCGGGCTTGAGTGAGCGTGATTTTTCAGTAGATGTTGAGATAAACTCAAGACTTTTTCACGCATGTGTTGAGAAAAAAAAATCCCCTCCAAGATGGGAAGAATGAAGAAATCGTGCACATAAAGTGTCTATTAATGGTCACCACAATTTTTATGATACATTCGCCGAATTGTCGTCTTTTGCCCACACATTCACGATTCCTCGCGACTGTTGATCTGCGGTGTCCAAAGTCTCGGGCAAATGTGGTAATTGTTTGGCTAAACTCACGCGCACTGCAGATCATTTCATTGGCCAGCGAACCTATCTTAATTAATTAAATTAAGACAGCACACAAACGCACCGTAAATTCTAATTATCAACACCACAGAGCGACTCTTTCGGGACTTTTTTTGCAAGAATTGCGTCCAACTCTTACCTTGAAGTCTCTTTGCGCTTTCCATCGTCTTCAACAGTTCGCACACATCATGCAGAAAGTCGACAGAAATAATTCAAGGGGTTGCTAATATTGGGGATGCAGTGTCACTTCTTCTTTCTGAATAGTTTTTAAAGTGTAGAAAAGCATATTTCTGAGCTGAAAAGACTAATAACTGACCAATAAATAGAAAACACTGCTTAAATACTTGATCTTTAATCGGATAATTACGGTTTTACGTAAGGTTTTACGATAAAACGAGTGTGAAACTATTAAAAAAAATCTGTAGTTGAGAGTAAAGAAAAACCGTTAAGAGTCCTTAAATCTTTTCAATATTAAGGAGTTCGAGAAGTTCTTAAACATAACCTCAAATTCTTTTTTATACCCACAAAATACATTTTTTCTCACAAAATCTTCTCATTTCTGTATATAAATACAGTTTTATATTCATTTTTCTTAAAATATCATCAAAATTTATTTCTTAACGCTCAAATATAAACCAGAATTCTCGACTCTGTTATTTTGAGCATATTTCCTAAGATCTAAATTTTAACAGAAGATGCTGAGGCATTCAAAATCCATATTAGCAACCCCTCGAGTGTTACTACAAGTTGATAAATAAATTAAAGGTGAAAAATGCAATTCAAAGAGCGGCTTTTGTTGTGACCTAGAAGACGCCATTCGCGCACGTCTTTCACCCCAACAATTCAATATAATAAGTAATAAAAACATCTAATTGGAAAATAATTGTAAAATTATTGCCATTCTTCCTCCCGATTCACAACTTCATCGAGTCTCTCTCGTTTCTTCGGATTGTGCAAATTATTTCGTGCCCATCTTCAATGTTAAAGCCAATTGAAATGGATTTAGTTGAATGACCTTCTCTAAGTTCCCAATTCTAAAGTCGCCCTGCTTGTGAATTCCACAAAATAGAACATCTTCGCTTTCCTATCGCCCAGTGTGAAACAGGTGCCAAAGTGCAAACATCGTCAGACAGATAAATATGGAAATTTTTCACATGACGAACATGGCAAAGAGTGTGATAAATTTCAGGTGTTAATGCTTTGGCAAACTGTGTCATCTTCTAACGGTTAGTTATAGGTAAATATCGCTTGAAATTTGATTTGCAAACTATCAAAGTGGAGGCTGGAAAACATTTCCACAACATCTTTCCGTGGTAAACAACATGCGTTGGTTTTCCAGCACAAACTGCAAGTCTGGCAAAAGTCTGATTGTTTGATATTCGCGCAAGAGATTTTCCACTCAAATGCGCACACTCGATATTAAATAATGAATTATGGTAATATAGGAAATTAATAATGTATGACGTGATCTTTTCCTTTTCTTCTCTCTCAATCAAGCTGTGGAAAAATTCTTTGAAGAGCAAACCAGGAAAATCTCTGCATTTTCCCACCGTGCGCATTGTCGAAAAATTTAATCTCTCACCGCAGAAGTGATAAAGGCGCAACAATAAAAGTCTCATTGGAAATTGCAAAGGCAACAATATATCCAATCTTTTGAGCTTTGCACACATGACTATGGCGAAAAAAACTTTCTTTCTCTCACCATTTCTCATATAAAACTTTATATTCACACAAACATCTCTCAGTTTTCACTCCATGAGTGATTACTAAATTTATCGACTTTTCTCTTTCACTCCGCGCGCTTTGATTGCGCATTTCCAGGGAGGCACACGAGTTGAATGGCAAAGGCGTGTAATTTGATAAAATTACAAAATTGATCATGGAGTGATATAACAAACATTCGCCAAGTCCGACCGAAAAACCTTGCAAAGCTCTTTGATCCAGAACAAATTGGGATCCTTCTCACCCACGAGCCGGTCTTGCGCAACTTCACCATCTTCCAGTGGCCACCAAAGTGGCTGCAACAATGAAATTCACACTTCTAGGGAGACGACAAAGAATGGCCAATTATAGCCAACGAGAGTCTCAATCACTTGATATAATGCCGAAGACAGAGACAGAGTGAAAAGCCGCTTAGGAATCAAGGTTTCCATCAAGGGGGAGATAATGTGCCTCAAAACACTTCCAAATTTGCCTGACACTTCTAGAACTTGAAGTTTTTAGACTGTTTCCACATTAATTCCCAAATTATAATTAATCTCTTGAGCTTTCATTCGAAAAATCGACTAAAAATAGCTGTTTTTGGACATCTTTTCTGATCATAACCTCAAAAATATTACTAAGAGTTCTTCAAAAACTCCGTTCGAAAGCTTTCCAGATTTGCCAATGATCTTAAAATTGCTGATTCACACTCAAAATTGTCCAGAAAGTTATCTAAATGGACATTTTCCAAGTTCAAATGACTATTTTTGAGGTTATGTTCAATCTTAGCACAATTTGCACTGTTTCTTGGCATCAAAGAATGAAAAAAGCACTGTTAATTACTTTCAAATGCTTAATTCTGTCAAGGACTAGCAGAATTTATATGCTACAATGCGAATTATTCACTAAATCTGTCCTTAATTTGTTACATAACCTAGAAAAAAGCTTTAAACGTTTGTTTCTGCGTGAAAATCGAAGGAAATTCGACGAATCTTGATGATTAGTGAGTAAAAGAAGCTCTTAGGAAAGGAATATTGTCGGTTTTTCAACACTTCCACTCCTTTTGAGTACTTCTGCTGAGCTGTACACCACATCTGACTGTATTATCTCCCCCTTGGCTTGCATCTTCTGCGTGCACGAGCCGAAAAGCCAGCCCATCAACAGGCACGCATTTTGCAAGACAAGTCAAGTAAAGATCCTCTCTCTTTCTCTGTGACCACTTCCTGGACTCCTCTCGAAAGCCATCCGAGCGTCAATTGAAAGAGATGAATTGAGAAGAGTATAAATTTGTTTGAATTCCATTTGCATATTTCCGAGCCTCATAATAGACTTTATGTGTATCGCTCAACGTGAAAATTACTGGTGCGTGGCGTTTTGAATTGTTTTCCCTCCCAATTCTTCTGGCCTTTTTTGCGCTACTCCGCGAAACACGAGCGCACTGTCTCTTTGGGTGATGTCTTGCTTGAACTTGTGTTTGAACATGAGAAAGAAATCGCATTTGTAATGACAATTCGTGCATTACTCACTGCGCCTTTTCAAATTTTTGTGAAACCATTCGAAAAAGACGCAGAATTAATCATAGCTTTTTGGAAGTCATTTCTCCGAAGAAAATTCCCCCAAATTCAATTAGTGCTCTGTGTCAGAAACTCTTATTAGCACAAAGAGAGTCTCTTTTGGCGCCCATAATTGAAATTGTGTGCTTTCCTTTCTCTTCTGCAGTGTGCGGTCCTCCGGCCGTTCCCGCCAATTCGCGCGTAGGAATTGCAACAATCGACAGTGGCTACGTGGAAGCGCGCTACGAGTGTGACTCTGGCTATGAGCTGTTCGGCTCGCCCACCATCAGATGCGACCCGAAACGTGGATGGGACAAAGACATTCCATTTTGCGGTGAGTTTGCCACATACCTGGAAACTTTCCCAGCGCCAAGCAAGGTTGAGGCCACTCAATGCTGACGCTTTTTCTCCTGCTCTCCAGGCACGAATGTCGCCTTCCGGAAGCCCGTGAATCAGTCCTCCGCCACCAGAGCGGGACCCGCGAGTTTTGCCAATGACGGGAAGCTGGGCAACCAGAATCCCGACGGTCAGGAGTGCTCGGAGACGCAGAAGGAGCCGTCGCCGTGGTGGCGCGTGGATTTGCTGATGCCGCAAGCGGTGCGCGTGGTCAGGATCACCACCAGAGGCTGCTGTGGCTTCCAGCCCATCCAGGATCTGGAGATCCGCGTGGGCAACAGCAGCACCGATCTGCAAAGGAATCCTCTGTGTGCGTGGTTTCCGGGCACAGTCGGTGAGTGTTGGATATGAAAAGAGAAAAGCGCCAAAAATTAACTGAAAAAATTGTGCAAAGTCATGAAATGCCAACGAGATCTATTTTTTGGCCAATTGTATAATTAATTTACTTAATTATTTCACTGTAAAATACTTTGCATAACTCCTCAATTACATGTATTTTAAAGCAGAGAATTGGCAAAAACCGCCTCTCTTTAGTATTTCTCGCATGAAAGACGATCACAAAAGGGGGTAAATAAGTGTCTTTTGCAGGGAATTGTGAGTGAAAAATCCGTGAATTTGCTCGACATTGAATGAAATCACTGACTTAAATGAATTATTTAATTGACAAAGTAACATTAAAAAGAGAGAAATATGAATAAAAAACTCACTTTTAGACTGAATTTCAAGCCAAAGTCTTGGTCAAAGTCATAGAAATCACAATTAATAAATATTTCATTCAAATTTCGATGTTTGATTCGAGTTATTTATATTAAAGTCTTGTTTTCTGCTCGAGAAATTGAGAAATCAACCAATATTTCGAGTTATTTAAAGAAATTACTGACTAATGAAGGTTAAATGATTGGGAATACAATCAATCTTGCAAGAAACACTGGTTTAAATATAAAATTTCTGCCGATCTGAGCTGAAAAAGCAACAGATCGGCAGTTATTCACCCCTCAGATGAGCAACTTCAGCTCCGTGCAGACCGCAATTAAGGCTCTCTGTGCTTGTAACTTTGCAGATGAGGGCACAACTAAAGTGTTCACCTGCGCCCGACCCCTCGTGGGTCAATTTGTGGCCATTCAGCTGGTCGGCGTCGAGGGCAGCCTGAGTCTGTGCGAAGTGGAAGTCTTCACCAATGACGAGTTCTCGCCAGAGCGCTGCGCCGCGCCCGATCTCAGCGCCGACACGCTCCTGGCCACCTTCTCGCGCACCTGCTACGAATTCCACGTGACCCGCGGCGAGAGCTTCGACCGCGCACGCAAGATTTGCCAATCGCACGGTGAGTTTCCCGGTGGGAATTTATTGAGAAATTGCGCAAACTATCGCTTGAATTGGCATTGCAGGCGGCGATCTGATCCACAGCTTCCGCGGACCGGCGCACGAGTACATCCTGTCGGAGCTGGACCGGCGGAAAGCGGACCTGCGCACGCAGCTGGTGTGGATTGGCGCACAGAAGGAGCCCGGCATTACGTCACGCGTGTGGAAATGGGTCAACGGTACGTGGAAATTGTGTTACATCTCCTCAAAAATGCGTGGAAAATTTAACATCTTGCGCCCTCGACAGGCGGAATTTGAATACAATTGCATTCAAATTGACGCCACACGGCGAGAGAGAGAGGAAAAAGAGCCGCGCGCGCAGAAAACAATCGAGAGATGAAGATTCTGTGATCCATCCGTTCAATTGTCGATCTGCAGTTGGATATGGCGATGAAAAAAAAAAACGAGGAAATTATGTCATCAAAGCAAAACTTCTCTCCCAACCTGCGAAAGAAAAGAGACTTGTGTTGTGGCCAAGAGGAAATTGCACATGAGAAAATTCACATGCAATTTGTACCGGTAGCGAAAAATTGCATGAGATTCTATCGAAGTTTTTCTCTTTTTCTCTCTCTCTCTCTCTGTCTTGATTGCAATTGAAAGACACAAAGGGGAAAATTTCAATCTCAGAAACTGAAATCGTGACTTTTTGAGAGGATGAAAAAACACCCATCAAAATGAAACAAGACATTGTAATTACACCTTCTGTCGCACTATCAAATGTGAACTCATTAAAAAATGCCCCACAACAGCATAAAATTCCATGCTGCGAGTGTAGAAAGTGGAGCATCTTTTAATTGTTCCTGCCAGAGGGAAAAAAAACACACACAATTTGAACGACAGAGAAAGTTTTAAAGGCAATGCACTTAAGCTCCCAATTTTCCCGCAGGCGATGTCGTCCTGAAGCCCGCTTGGGGAAAGGATCAGCCCAACAATTACAACGGAGAGCAGAATTGCGTGGTCCTGGACGGAGGCCGGAATTGGCTGTGGAACGATGTTGGCTGCAATTTGGACTATCTTCACTTCATCTGCCAACACGGTGAGTCTCTAATCGACAGACAAAAGCACGTGAAGAACACGTCTTTTGGTGAAGAGATGATCAAAATCGGTTGGTAAACAGCGGAGATAAAAGAGGATAGAAGCGAGATCTTTAAACCTCCATATCTCCGCTTCTATGATTTTAATTCCCATAAATGGGTGTTCGTTAGAAAGGTCTTGACTTCAGCTACAACATACTAAAACTTAAAGAAAATACACAGTCTAGTTTTTGAGATATTTGGTTTTAAAGTTTTGAAAATCGTTTTTTTCGTCTTTAGCGCCCCTAGCGGTAGTCTTATAAGTTATGATGTTCAGATGAAAGATTGTATTTTATGAGATCTATCTAACGAGCTTTCAATCATTCAAATCGGATAATTAAAACCGTATTTCAGACCATTTAAAGTTTCAAAATTTGGGTCTTAAAATCTGGGGTTCGGAAGGACCTAGGTCCTTAAATGGCTGTCCGTTGGAAAGATCTTGAGGCCTGTTATAACATACTAGAAGTTGGGCCCGATTCATGCCATAGGGGCTGAACAAATGAGCTAAACGTTTTTTGGTTGTATTCAAGATGGCCGACGGAGGGTTGGGGGTTGAATTTGACATCACATAATCTTAGCGGCGGTAGGATTTTTGACCTTTGGTGAAAACTGCATATCGATATCTCTTACCGACGGACGCAGACCAATATAAAAATAAAAAATGACCCCCCTTTTTATCGATGAAATTCACTTTTCAGCTCCTCTCTCTTGTGGCTCTCCGGATTCGCTGCAGAACACCACGGTGTCCGGGAAGAACTTCACCATCGGAGCTGTTATTGAGTACTCGTGCGCCAAAGGCCTGGCCATGCTGGGCGACAACACCAGACGCTGCGAAGCGTCCGGATTGTGGAGCGGATCGGCGCCCACGTGTCAGTACGTGGATTGCGGAGAACTGTCGCCTCTGGAGCACGGCGGAGTGATCATGTCGGAGCCCAGGACGACGTTCGGCGTGCAGGCCACTTACTCCTGCCACGAGAACTACACTCTCATAGGCAATGAGAACAGGACGTGCCAGCTGGAAGGGTGGTCAGGGAAGAAGCCTCAGTGCCTGGTTGACTGGTGTCCAGAGCCGCCGCCGGTGACCGGCGGATCAGTGCGGCTGTCGGGCAAGAGAGCGGGCTCCACCGCAACTTATGGTTGTGATTCCGGGCACGTGCTGATCGGAGATCCTGTCCTGTCGTGCGGTCTGGGCGGCGAATGGACAGGACGTCCGCCAATCTGCCGGTACGTCGACTGTGGCGCCCCCGCGCGGCCCGACAGAGGCAACATCGTCCTCCTGAATGGCACCACGACCGTGGGCAGCACGGCCACGTTCCACTGCGACAGGGACTTCTGGCTGGTGGGGCCGCAGGAGCTCACGTGCACGAAGGAGGGCAAGTGGAGCGGAGACGCGCCGGCGTGTGAGCTCATCACTTGCGAGACGCCCAACGTTCCGCCAGGATCTTACGTCGTGGGCTACGACTACAACATCCACTCCTCCATTGAGTACCACTGCGATCCTGGACACTTGCTGCGCGGCGAGAGGAGACTCACGTGCCAGGAATCCGGCGAGTGGAGTGGCGAAGCGCCCTTCTGCGAGTACGTCGATTGCGGCGCACTGTCGCCCATCCCTTACGGCACTCATCGATACACGCAGAACACAACTTATGTGGGATCGGAAGTCAGCTACTCCTGCACAAATTCCCATCGCCTGTCCGGCGTGGCGAAGAGAACGTGTCTGGATTCTGGGCTGTGGAGCGACTCGGCGCCCAAATGCGAAGAGATCAGATGCACAGAACCCACAATTGCCGCTCACAGCATCCTTTCGGTCACCGGCAATGACAGGATGTACGGCAGGACGCTGATCAGGACGTCAGATTCACTGCAGAACACCTTCCAGACGTACAAGTAAGGATCCATCGACGCTATAAGTTTCTTTTGATCTAATTCGCGTCTTGCTTTCGCAGGATCGGCGCCTTGGCCAAGTACAGGTGCGAACGAGGCTACAAAATCATGGGCGATCCACTGATCACCTGCGAAGACAACGGACAGTGGGCCGGATTGGTTCCCGAGTGTATTTGTAAGTTTGAAGATCCATTAATCATGGAGCAACAAAGTTGCTTTGAATAGACACTTCAGCTGAAGTGGCTAAACTTTCCCGTCTATCTTTTATTAATCTCTCTCTCTTTTTCATCCACAAAGAGGCATTCTGATGAAAAATTCTCCGCTTTATTTGCATCTCCATTTATCATGCTTTTCTTTATGATGGGTGTTTACGTGTGAAAATTTCACTAATTTGTCCAAATTAGCGTCATTTCGACATTCCCAAATTAATTTCGACGCTTGTTTTTCCTCATTTATTAGTGTCTCTCTCTTTCTCAAGAAACACTCCCAAATTACGTCTGATTATCCTCAAATGCTACCGCCTAATTGGGGGAATTTCATTCTCTGCGCGCCAAACAAGATTAATTGCGAAAGGGTATTATTTTGATTTCCTCCCACAGACGTGGATTGCCAGCAACCGTCGGGCATCCAGTATGGCAAGATGACCCTGGCCACGAATGCCACTTACTACGGAGCAGCCGCGCTCTATGAGTGCGACAGCAACTTCAAGCTGGACGGAGTGTCGCGAAGATTGTGCTTGGAAGACGGGACGTGGAGTCACGAGACGCCAGCTTGCAGAGGTACGAGAAAGATGGACTTTTCACCCTTATTTCCCCCTTTTCAACCCTCTTTCTGCGCCCAGAGAGAGGAAAAGTCCGCATTTTTACATGTTTTCTAGGTTATGTTACTGATTACAGACAGAATAACATCTTAAAGTAGAAATTCTACCTCTTAAATTGAATGTATTTCGGTTTATTGGCAAAATTGCGTATTTTTACTAGGATTTTAACGCTAAAGTGAAACATAACCTCAATATTTTTTTAATAAACTGTTGCGTTTTTGAGTTAGAAACAAAAAAGAAAATTGTTAAAGGATATTATGATCAAGAAAAATATGCAAAAGTGCAATTTTAGTGGAAGAAAATCATAAATTATTGTATAAAAACGCGAGTTTTATACTTTTCAGTTAGATTTCGGTTAGATTTTGGTCAGATTTTGGTCATATTCCAATTATTAGTTGATTTTCGTCTTGTTTTAAACAATCTGTGGAGTCTGAAGTATTGGGAAGTGTTAAGGATGTTTAATTCCTTAAATGTGGCTCTAATTCGTTAACCGTCCATCTCTCTTCCGCAGAAATCACCTGCGACGATCCAGATGTCACGGAAAATGTGGTGGTGAATGCTGGGACACGCTCTGTGGGCACCGTGGCGCAGTTCTCCTGCACGAAGGGGCGCTACTTGGTGGGAAACGCCACCAGACTGTGTCTGAAGCACGGCCAGTGGAGCGGCAAGAGTCCCATCTGCAAACCCGTGGACTGCGAGCGGCCGCCGCCCATTGAGTTCGGCCGGGTGATCGTGGTGAACGAGTCAACGGTCTACGGGGCCAATGCGGAGTACCACTGCGTGCCCAACTACCAAAGAATCGGGCCCTACCTGCGGAAGTGCATGGAGACGGGGAAGTGGAGCGGCGAGGAGCCCAGATGCGAGCGTGAGTATTTCCTGCCACTGTCCAGAGATCCCCTAATGCCCTCAATTGACTCTCCTTCTGCAGTGGCCACGAACGAGGCTCAGGAGTCCACTGGGCTGGGCACGGGAATCGCCATCGGAGCGGCCATCATTGTCATCCTGCTGGTCATCATTGGGCTGGTTGTGCTGCACAAGAACAAGGCGCGCCCCGTGAAGAACACGGAGAACGTCCAGGCGGCCGAGCGCAAGGAGGACGCCAATGCCGCCGTGATGTCGTACTCCAGCCTCGAGAACACGCGTCCGCCGGCGTCATTTGATCTCACAAATCGCGCCACGTTCAACACATTCCAGCCCACGCGACCCGCGAATCACATCACGAACAACAACACCCCATCTGGGCGCTCCACAGGTACGTTTAACACGCACGCCATGCCGCGAGCGCTGGCGAGAGAGCAGAATTGGAACATGTGAAGCATTTGCCATCCATTTAGCACCCCTTAAAAAACCCATCCCTTCGACAGAGAACATCTACGATCAAATACCATCGGAGCAATACTACGATGCGCCGTACGAAATGCGCACCAATGATGAGGTTTACGAGCCCGAACCCACCCCCACGTCCGGCAATATTGTCACAATCAATGGCATCAACGTCCGGTGAGACGCTGAGAAGTGATGTTCGTACTCTTTGGCCCTCCACGAGGGACACAAACGCGCATTTCTCGCCCCATCTTCATCCTCCTGCACTGCACCGCCCAGTCATCTCTCACCCGTCATCTCTGCACCCACACGAGACACCCACACACACTACCCCCCGGATGGGGAGCGCCGGAGATGCCCAGTGCGCGCGGACTGGAGTGGGCGCGAAGATGAAAATATGGACTTATTGCAATTATTTTCTACCTTGTACATACTATTTATATGTGAAATCTTGTCTAGGCATAAGGAAAGTGTATCTGATAGTGTGTATTGTTGAGAGAATCCCCGAGAAGGGTAGATTTTTGAGAAATAAACAGATTGTTGGTTAAACTCTTGAGTGTTTCTTTGGCGGGAAATATTCCACATCATGGCGCGCCACTTGCGGCGAGAAGGTGAATTTGTGCGCGCGTGTGGCGAAAAAGGTGTGGCGAATTCACCACTCCGTCAGCGCCATCTGCGTTGTTATTCCTCGCTAGGGAAAGTGACGTTTCAAGTGGAAGTGCCTCAAAGTGTGTGTTCCAGGGATTTTGCTGTTTTTCCTTTGTAAATCTCTCAGTTTTATTAAGTAAGTACTCTTATCCTCTTCCCCACACACCACACAATCCCTTTGCGTAGGAAATCCTTTAGGATTGCCTCTCAATTGCCCGGGAAATTGCAATCCTTCTGAGGGCATTCCAAGACACTGACGTCACGCACAAAGAAATCATCTCTTTTGGAGTGTTTATTTCGCGGAAATATTCGTGATTTCACCCGCCAAATGGCTCTGTTATCGCTGGTTGGCAGGATGGGGGTCATTAGGAGGGAAATTGCGTGAAAAATGGACAGATGTCCTGAGCGCAAGAAGGCAGAAAATGAACGTTTCGTGTGTGCTACATTTCGTATGCCTTATATGGAAATCGTTTCTTCGTCAATTTGTCCATATTTTCAACAACACCCGATCGCCAAGTTTGCGATGGGAATTTCGCGACTGACACACGCTCGAAATTACACTCATTCTCTCTGCTTGCACAGTGTTTTTTGCCATCATACACAAAAAACCAGTGGAGAGAGAGAGTGATTCACACTCTTCCGATAGTGCAAAAGTCTCCAAAGCAAAAAGTCTCCAAGACGTGAATTTGTCTGTTTCCACAGGATGTCTTCCAGGAAAACCGCGGGCCGTCGCGCGACGAACAAGAAGCGCGCCCAGAGGGCGACATCGAATGTCTTCGCGATGTTCGATCAGGCGCAGATTGCGGAGTTCAAGGAGGCGTTCAACATGATCGACCAGAATCGCGATGGTTTCGTGGAGAAGGAAGATCTGCACGACATGCTGGCGTCACTGGGCAAGAATCCCACGGATGAGTACCTGGAGGCGATGATGAATGAGGCTCCGGGCCCGATAAACTTCACAATGTTCCTCACGCTGTTCGGGGAGCGCCTGCAGGGCACAGATCCGGAGGACGTGATCAAGAATGCCTTCGGGTGCTTCGACGAGGACAACACGGGCCTCATCTCGGAGGAGCGACTCAGGGAGCTCCTCACCACCATGGGCGATCGCTTCTCGGACGACGATGTGAGTGAATTTTCACAAGAATACGGGAAAATGCTGATTTTTGGGCGGATTTCAGGTGGACGAGATGTTCAGAGAGGCACCAATCAAGGAGGGACTCTTTGACTACTTGGAATTCACGAGGATCCTGAAGCATGGCGCCAAGGACAAGGATGAGCAGTGAATAACAACATCCGAACAGCTCTCAATTGTCTCACATATTTTCTATACACACACGAATTAACATCAGTATTTAATGCACTTTGTAATAGAAAAAAAAAACTGAGAAATCCCTTCAGTCCTTAGGACGAACACCGAAATTTGCATTTTCCCCAACACAAATCGAGAGAATTCATAAAGAAAAAAAACCACTAACAAAACCTTTGCATTGACAAAATAAGACACAATTTTGTTACATGAATTTATATTGGAAGATATTTGTGTATAAGTTTACAGAAATTTCCCCCCATTAAATTTTAAGTTGATACAAAAGGATGTCTTTGAGGAAAAGGATCTCACATTTGTGGAGAAAAGTGAAAAATAACGAGACTGGAGAATGTCAAAGAGCGAAACCTTGTGCCAGCATCCAACTTTTTCCCTTCCAAGAAGCCATAAAAAATGAATTATGGTCGCAAATTCGCACGAGGGTTGATGAAAAGCGGTCGCGAGTGTTCTTTGTCTGGGTGGAAAAATGCGACGCAATAGAAATTCGGAGAATTCTTGCCCACTTGCGGTGGCAATTTCGATGCCCTCCTAAATCCCCGAAATGTGCGCCACATTGACAGCGAATTAAAGATAAGGAGGTGAGAAAGTGTCATTTCCCTTTTTTTCTACACCATCACGAGACAAGTCATTTTGCCGGCTGAGAGAATTGGCGAGTTTTCCGGGAGGCACAGGAATGCTTCAGAGGCCAAGAGTGAATTGCAATTCTCTCGCGAGCACTTCGCGGAGTCGCCGCAGAAGGAACGCACAGACACACTGGCACTGCTCACTCAACCATTGAAGAAAGTCACACAATCGAGGGGCAGCGCAGCGAGCCTGCAACACCTTTCTTCGGCTCTAGAATTGTCATCTTCAGAGGGATTTGTTGTGGAACACTTCAAATGCCAGAGTTTTAACTGGAATTAATCATATCTCAAGTGATCTAACATGCGGTTTCTGATAGTTATCACTATGCAAAGACGATAAGTAAAGCTTGTTCTTCGCTTGTAAGAAGATAAACTCAAATTAGACAAATTGAAGCATTTCCCATATTATTTTGTGTAAAAAAAAAACCTATTTTATTGCTTTTCTAGATTATGTGATTGATTTTAAACAGATTCTGTCGATTAAAGAACCCTCAAAAATCATCAAATTTCTGCTTTACTTAGTTAGATGGCTTTAAAATCCCATTGAGGGACACAACCTTCTCCATTAAATGAAGATGTTTAGGTTTTACGGTGACAGATTGTCAGTTTGCCGACCAACCATAAGTGGTTCTAACGCCCACCTTTATTCTATACAGAGACAGAGCGCAAGACAATTCCAGTGAAGCGTGTATTTCAGCTAGAACATTCAACAGTAACCCGCTTTGGCTGCTATAATCTGCCATTGAAAGGGCTTAAGAGCCAAACATAACCTCAAAAATGCCATATCAGTCCAAAGAGAATGTATTTTGCTTCATAATTTCCGTTGTTCGAGCTTTAAAGTGACAAATTCAGCACCAACTTTATCAGGCTCCAATTTCCCAGGTTCGAAAGGATTAAAATTAGTCTAAGGATTTTTTAAGTTGGATTTATAACCTCACAATTTGATCAGTATTTTTAAAAGCATTTTCCCAAGACAGAAACAAAAAATCAAGACTAAAATCAGTTCTTACGATCTGAAATCTAAGCATTTGAAGCACATTTCAACATTCCTAATTTCCCTGTTCCGCCGAAACTCTGTACTCGAGCGCCCTGATGCGGCGCCCCTCGACTCAACACATCGAGAGGAATGGCAGCGAGTCCGAGGCAAGCACACTCCGGCTGTTTGTCGAGCGGTGAGCTGAACACAGTTGTTGGGAAAAGCGCCGAGTGGAACTGCGCCACAGTCAAAACATCTCGCATTGGCATCATCTCGCACTTGTTTTTCTTGGTCTCTCATTTTCGCCCAGTGAAGTTTGTGTGCCTGCCCGAAATAAGGCTCTGGCAGTGTGGAAGAAGAAAAATCCCTGTGCAATTTTCCTCAGTGCGTCTCACTCGCGCGCGCCTCTTGGGAGAATTTTTACCATCTTTTGCGTCCGGCGACGGAAAAGTGGCCAGGAAGACGTGAACCGGTCTTGACAGCGCGAGAGGGGAAGTGGGCGAGAGAGAGGGTGAATTGAGGACAAAGAGGCAAGATGGTGGTGCATCCGGAAAACCCCAGAATCCATCCCCAATTTTCCACCTGCCGCAGACTCGAGACTCTTTGTCACATTGTGTGAAAAATCCTGCACATTTTTTCAATTGAATTTGTCGAAATTGTTGTGAAATTCAGAGTGAAAAATTTTCGCGAATTTGAAGAGAATTTCTGCCCAGACTTTTCCTGGTCAGCAGAATCAGCCACACACACACGGTGATTGAATTTTCCTGGCCCACAATCCCGAGACAGTGAAGAGTGTGAGGGAAAATCGGATGCAGAGAGAATTCAGTCAGAATTTCTCTTTCGCTCCCAAAAGTGAAAAGTCGATATTTCCACGCCATCATCGTTGAAAATCACAGTGAAAAGTCCACAAGTGTGGGCGGGGGTGAGGAAATTCCCGGAAAGACACATGATAAACATCGAATTTGCTTTCGCATTTTCCTGCATCGCGGCAAAATCACCAAAAAACTCTCTGAGTGGAATTGTAATTTGTGCGTGTGATTCATTCGTTGCCGACAAGAGAGCAAATCAGTGAATAAATAATTGATTAGCTTCTTATCACAGAGTTGGGCAATAAAGTGAATAATCATTGCTGAAGACACTCGATTCCCGTGAGAGTGTTGTGCAGAGCAAACAGCCAAGCGTTGTGCATCTTCTTCGATGGTGTAAACACAGAGAGACAAACACGAGTTGAGGAAGCGGAAGACATCACATCCTGTCCAGGTGTTTGAGCACGCCAAAGAAGTCCCTCCAGAGACAGGTTTTCAGGTAAACATCGCGATTCACCTTTAAATTTAATTAACTCTTGCCAACCAACAAGAATTCCTTCCTTTCTAACGATGAGACTTTTCTACTCAATTTTATAAATAAACTCCACACGAAGCGTGATATAAAAGTATTGCATTACATCTCAATGTTGACGTGTATCGCGGTAACATAAGTTTCTCATGTCTATTTGCACTCTTTGCCGCATCAAATTCACATATAAAGTCATGTCCTTAAACCCCATATTCTTAAGGCATTTAATGCCACCCCCAAAATCGTGACTTTAAATCACTGACACTTGGCCAAGAAGCCCACGATTGAGGCTCGTTGAAGCCAGAAAAGTGGCGACTCCGCCACGGTTAGATGTTAATCTGCATAAATTAAGTCGAAACCACCCACTTCCGGTGGCTATTGTGTAATTTTCGGACTCATATGGGGGGAGCACGAGACCATGAGTCGCTCTAGATCGCTGTGCAAAAATGCTCTGTGAAGGTTAAGCCCAACTCCTTGTGGCTCAAGTGTTGGGCGGATTGTTACACATCCTTTGCATTGTTTACTCATAGCTGCGCTATTTGTCGACGGATTTTCAAGAGTAATGGCGCTTTGGAAAGATAATTTAACAATCTGCAACTCTCTAGAAGATGTAATTTGTATCAGAACACGCCTTGACCTAATTTTAAGGGACTTTCTTTTACAGAATTCTCTGAATTCAGATGCATTTTTTGCCATAAAAATCAGCAGAAGATAGTTTACAACTGTCTAGAACATAAAATTTGTATCAGACTACGTCATTATCTGCTTCAAGGGGGAGATAACACAGTCAGAAGTAGTGTTATTCAAAAAATTATCCCAATTCTTTGGATTTCTCTCGATTTTCACGCATACGCAATAATAAAAATCTTTTTCTAGGTTATGTAACGAATCAGGGACAGATTTAGTGATTAATTCGTAGTCTAGCTCATCAAATCTTATGCTTATGTCAAAAAAATCACTAGTTATTGGAAGAATTAAGTATTTGCATGCAATAAACACTGCAAATTGTATTGAACTCAAACATAACCTCAAAAATAGTCATTTGGACTTGGAATATGTTCATTTCAAACACTTTATGGGCAATTTTAACTATAAATCAGCAATTCTTTATTCAGAACGCTTCCAAACAGAGTCTTTTGAAGATCTTTCAATGATGTTTTTGAGGTTAGGATCGGAAAGAAGCAGTTTTAAGAGGATTTGTGCAGAAATATCGAAGGGAAACTTGAGAGATTCATTAAAATTTGGGAATCAATGTGGAAACAGACTTCAAATTTCATGTTCTAGAAATGTTAGGCATATTATCTCCCCCTTGATTTGTTTTCGACAACATATTCTTTACGTTAAATTGTAAGAAAGAAACATTCTTGACCACGCAAAGGCGCAACACAGCTCAAGACTATGCAAATGTGGGCAAAATAAAATTGCCGACCGTCTTCCGGGGCTCTCTCACATCAATCTCCTGGCCATAGGTCATAGTTGAGGGCGATAATCGGCAAATATTTGGACGGTATTGAATTGTGCTGTGTGTGGCGAAAAGTGACCCAATTCGATGCGCTGCGCATAGGAGGAAGCCAATAAATTCGCGTGATGCACTCGCCAGTGCACTTGCGTCGACCCCCGCCCCTCGGGCAAGGGCGACAGTGTCTGAAAATGTGCACAGAGGGCCTCATGAGGGCGAACGGAGTGACAAGATAAATGGAAATTGCATGTCTAAAGGTCTGCGCGCCATCTGAGACTCCCACAACAACCCTCAATCGCCAGGACGAAGAGGGAAAGAAAGGAAAAAAAGCCCTGCAGAAATATGCCAGACATGAATTTGCCGCACTCAATGTGGAAATTATTGATTTTTCCTCTTCTTCACCATGACAAAATTAAACACACTCACACAGAAGCGCGCCAAATAGATTCGCACACATTTTAAAGCACACCAGCAAAATCAATCACGTCGATTCTATCAATAATTCAGGCCGAAAGCGGACGTCGTCGGAAGGGAAATGGCCTGGAGAGCGAGAGAGAGAGAGAGAGGGAAAAATGACGAGCAAAAAGGCCAGGAATGCTAAATTAATTGGCCGAAAACATTATGGCCAAGTGGGAAAGTGAAATAAAATTCACAAACATTCCCTGGGAAGCTTCATAAAATTGTCGTGTCTCTTTTTGTTTCTTCGCTTTGCTTCCATCTCGTGAGAATTAATTCAAAAGTTTGTGTAATTTTTCTGCCATGTCTCTGCAATTCTCTCGCCGAAGTGCTTCAAAGCATTTGGCGAACAGTGAACAGCAGCAGAACTCGAACACTTTGGCAAAATGGGGTGGCCAAAATCTGTACACCACAATTTGTATAAGAAATCCTTCAGATTTCATGGTTTGTTTATAAATAAAAAAGGAAAGAAAGATAAACAATCAAGTAATAACTGAAATATGACTAAAATCTAACCATAATCTAACTTAAATTTAACCGAAAACTAGCTGAAATTTAACTGCCAATTTTAAATTCACATTTTCATACAATATTTCATGGTTTTCTTCCCCTTAAACTGCACTTTTGCGCATTTTTCTTGATCATAATAATTTCTAACCTAAAATCGTGACAGTTTATATTACAAAAATTGAGGTTATGTTTCATTTTAGCATTATTTCCTAAAATCATGATTTATATTGAGTAAAAATACGCAATTCTATCAATAAAGTGAAAATACTTTCAGTTTAGATGTAAGAATTTCTTCTTTAAGATGTTATTTAGTCTAAAATCAATCACATAACCTAGAAAAATATGTCAAAATTGAGATTTCGATGGAAATTGAATTGCTGTTTATTATATTATTTCCCCCTTGAGCTGACAAAATTCCACTGTCGCTCGAAATTCACTCCTCCAGTGATCAATGTCTTCGGCAAGGCAGTGTTGGCGGCACAGGGAAAATCATTGAACCATTGAATTTCTCACAGATATCATGTATATTTATGCATGTTGAGATATTTGAAGCCACCGCAGACAGAAGTTTTCTAATTTTTTGCGCTCTTTCGCCGTGAAACCCACCTTACTTTCCTGATCCCATAAATCCTCCGGGCAGAACAGAATCTCGCGCGCCAAACGATTAAATATTACAATGCAAAACGGTTTCTAACGCTCCTATTCTTGTTCTTTTTTTTTATTCCTTGTCTTATCTCTGTGCTTGATATTGTTTCTAGTGCGCCTTTTTGCCGTGGCATTGTTGCGCTGAGACACCATTCTGTGTTGGGATTGTTTATGATGAAGTGTTAAGCATTTCTTCGCGCCTTTTCACCATCATTGGAAGATACATGTGAAAACCTTCAGTAAACCACTAACGAGGCGCCCTTGAATTTCACCACATATGCGAATTTTCACATTTAATTGACACTTGGATATGAGAAGATACATTTGGCCATTGTTTAGCTGGTGAAGAGTTTTGAGATTTCTGTCACTCAATGATAAGGATGACTCTTCATCATCTCCAACATTGCTGTTCTGCTCAACTTTCACCATTAATTCCACCGCCAGAGTGTCTTGAAATAGACGCTCAGTATCTCAATTATCTCCCATTGAATTCAGTCGAAATTGCGACAAATGGCTAAATTATGACCACATTAGTGGATTCCGCAGGAATTTACCGTCATCGCCGCTCTTTCTCTGGGTCGTTAAATTAATTTTAGGTTTTGGACAAACGCAAAGTCTAAGAGAAAAGCATCACAACTTGTGCTTAAGTCTGTTTCTCTGGTCCACTGAACTCTCCAACCATTGATCAACTTCTAACCATGAATGACTCATATTTCTCCCACATATTCAACATTGACTGTTGCGTAAGACGTTCAGAAAGTGTGCGAGTTTCATCAGACAATTAAATTTATTGTTTTGCAACTCAATGGGACGATTAGGAAGTCAACATTCGAACACAAACAATGCTGAACAAAGTCAACAAGATGGCTTGAAAGTGCGCCAAAGTGGCCGTTTATGCTCGGAATGACAATTGATCAATGGGCGAAATGATGAATTGCGAGAAGTAATCCGTCAAAAAAAATAGTAAAGACTTCCTCAGTGTGAAGTGACATGGCTTTCGAAGCGGAAGAAAAAGGGAAATTTCGAGGAAAAACACACACACACGCGAAAGGTTAAGAATATAATTAAATGCACCCTTCGTGCATTTCACTCACGAACCCCTGAAACATCTCTCCCCTTCATTCTGCACAAATTCCACTCTTTCTCTCTCTCGCTCTTTGTGATGAGAAGAAATGTTGGCAAGACACTTTGTGAGGGTGAAACAGAATGCACAAGGGTACAAAATCTCATTTATTTCTGCCAAACAGTCGAAGATAAATCCTCCAGGGTTGCAAAAGAACCCCCGAAATCGATATAAATATTGAGTATTTTTGCCAAACAACTTCAAAAGACGTGAAAGTCACTTAAATCCACGCAAATGTGCTAATTTTATGGCCTTTCTTTCGTGCTAATTGCACTGCGAGGCGCGCTTTTCTTTGATTTCCAACCATCAGAAAATTCACCCATAAATGCGTCTTTGAGTGTCGCAAAAAAAAGGGAAAAAGAACACGTAAAGCAATGAAACACTTGAAATAATAATTTAAACAAATAATTGCTCTCTTCACTAATAAACTCTTCGCCGAGTGGCCGCCGCTCAAGTGCAATTTATGTCTATGAAATTATAACATTTCTCCCTTTGCTCTCAATTGCACAGTCTTATCAGAAAAATGCATGGGAAAATAAGATGCTCGAGAGGCAGCAACTTCTTTTCACCCTGCAAGAGCGCCTCTCACAAGTGAGGAGGAATTTAATGAGAAATGAGATAATCTGAGGATGAAAAGAAGAGGTTGAAGACGCTTCTAAACTTTATGGCGACATTTAAAATTGGAGTTTATTAAGTACTGACAGAGGTTTAAGACACCCATGCGTGTCTTCTGGCTGAAAGAAATACCTTTGTTGCTAATTGAGATTCTGAAAATAC